CCCCCCCCCATATGTACGATGAAAATTCTCGACTCTCCCTTATAGACACTAAGCAAGAACAAAGTCTGTGGATCATTTCCCCAAACTGCTTTCCTTCTAAACAAACAGGAGAGATTTAAACCATAGATGTTCATAACAAAGAATAAGCAAACTACATCAGAGCACTGCCAACTGCCCGACCATCACAAATGAGAGTGGACAGACGAGAAGTGTGCAGTGGCACAGTCCTCATGCCAGGCAAAGCTCACAGCGAATGAGTGCCACAGGAAAGTCAAAGAAGACTGCGACAGTGACGGGACAACACAGCGAGCAGACTACGGACGGCCACCACCAACAGTGGCCACATTTCACAGAGAAGCGCATTAGAACAAAACAAACCGTGAAAAGAAAACTAGGCAAACAGATGTTGAGAACAGTTCTCCTTCATTAGCACCCACAGCCAGAAAGCACAAGTTGCCAACTTTGGTTTATCTTTTCTCGTGGTACCAAATTTAAAAAATAACACAATTAACAGATTCTGGAATTGACTTCCATCATTTGACAAAACTGATCCCCCCCCCCACTACTTACTTTCACAACATGTGCTTCTACACTAGACGAAGAACGGACATAATCACAAGCAAGGAAACACACTTTGGAACTGGCCTAATACATCCAGAGATGCACTGAAATATTACACAAAAACTTTTACAAGTTCATACAAAATCGATTCAAGATCAAGAAATCTCAGAGGCTGCATGAACATGTTCCGATTACGCTGAAGCATTAACAATCTCAGACAGCAAAATGAATACAGGAGAAAATCAATTTCCCAACAGGCAGCAGACAATTCAGTCCTAAAGTACCAGACTTATTATTCGACAGAGGATTTAGGTCCTAAAATACAACAAGCCCCAACATTTCGGCTGTACACCACACTGCCTTTTCACCACCACTGTCCGAGAGTCGTGCGGACGCTAGCAGCGGAAATCCCAGAAATAATTCGCTTTGGGGGAAGGGGGAAAAAAAGACAAATGGAGAGTACTAGGATGAATAAATACCTCCATGCCACACTGAAACCATTAACCATCACCCTTTTGTTAAATAACCGGATAAAATATTTTTCAACAAGTGATCACAAGCGCTGATGAAGTTTTTAAATAGAAATCAAACAACAGCAACAACAAAAAAACAAAAATGTGGGAAACAAAAGAAATTCATACATTCCACCCATACCCTCCCCAACAAATTCCCCAAACTTTCTCCGCTCGCTCACACACACACAGTACCACAAGTTTCCCTGTTCATTCATCAATGGCACAACTCTCCCGCACGCTAGCGCATTCACCACCACACCACGCTCAGGGATCTTTGCTCTACAGTATTATGTATATATATATAAGTGTTTGTGTGTGGCAGCGTGGCGAAATCAGGTTCTTGTCAAAATATATAGAAATCTCAGAAACTGACGCTTTGATTATTTTTTTTTTTGGTTGGTGGGGGGTGGGGGGGGTGGGTGGGGCAAAGCATCCTTTATGTCCACTTAACCCATTTCTGTGCGAGTGCATTTTACTGAAGAATGTTGATCAAAAGCACAAAAGATTTTAATTTGCAGTTTCCAATGACACCTAAGCTTTGGAAGTCATCGATCTCTTATGGACATTTTCTCGCAAATTTTATCTTCGACATCAGACGACCCCTATCTCCTTCAATCATAGATATCTTGACTTCTATTCAAGATAGATGGGGTATTTTTTGTTTTCTTCCACAGCAAGACAAATGAACAAGCTTTTAGAATGATAGCAATAAATCCACATGCCCCAAAAACTTGACGAGCACCTGATTCCCCCGGCCGCGACACAAACAACAGACTATGGTACACCTAGACAGAAGCGGCCCTATTGCTTGGTGGCCGCGCTCGAAGGCTTGAACTTGGGCAGCATCAGGCCAAACTTGGACTCGATGCCGTCAAACGTGGCCAGCGCCATGCGGTAGCCACCTATGTGGTCGGGGTTTCGAGACAGGATATCCTCTAAATGAACAGACTTGGCCTCAGAACCTTCCGGACGGCTGGGGAGGCAAGAAAAAGAATGTAAAATTAGGTGTTACTAGAAGAGGGATATAAGATTAGAGGTGTTACTAGAGGAGGGATATAAGATTAGAGGTGTTACTAGATGAGGGATATAAGATTAGAGGTGTTACTAGAGGAGGGATATAAGATTAGAGGTGTTACTAGAGGAGGGATATAAGATTAGAGGTATTACTAGAGGAGGGATATAAGATTAGAGGTGTTACTAGAGGAGGGATATAAGATTAGAGGTATTACTAGAGGAGGGATATAAGATTAGAGGTGTTACTAGAGGAGGGATATAAGATTAGAGGTGTTACTAGAGGAGGGATAAAAATTACAGGTGTTACTAGAGGAGGGATAAAAGATTAGAGGTGTTACTAGAGGGAACAGGAGAAAGAAAATATAAGATGAGGTCTTACTAGAGATTAACAATAACATACATAGAAAAGGAGGAGAGAAAAGGACAAAATATGTTTGATAGGAAAGAAGGACCAAACCAGACCACAGCACTCACCAACCATCTACATGTACCGATAAATATAAATAAAGTGAATTAGAAAAAGAAAACCACTCTTAGTTGACCACAACCAGGCTGAGGCGGCCAATGACCATCCCTCCTCAACACAAAGTTGCACAGCCACAGAAGCTGTTGTACAATTAGACAGAAAAGATGAACAACACTTGGAGAACACTAAAAAGTACCTTATATTCCTCATGTGCACTTTCCCTTCTGCCAATACTCAATGAATGAAGGAGAGTACTTTTAAAACACATGTACTCCACCTGATCTCATGCAGTTGCCAGCGCCATAAAACTGTTTCCAAACCAACCCTAAACATACGTACAAGTAATTTTTCACTGACTCTTCCTTTCTAAAAAAAACAATTCCCCCCCCCCCCCAAGAAAAACATCCTCAACAAAAACAAAAAACCTTTCTCACACATATATATATTAAAGAGAAGGAAGGAAAAGGAGTAAAGAAAAACTTTTGGAAGCCATCATCAACACATCGAGAGAAAGCACTGACCTGCCACCAAAGTCGACGTAGAAGAGCCGCTGCAACAACTCGTAGGTGAGGAGAGTTACGCCAAACTGAGGCGACGACCGGAACACACGAGCTGAGGGGAAAAAACCAAATTGCGATTGTAGATTGTACGTGTTTTAACCTCCCCTTCCCGACAATATTTTGATATGGGCGAAAAGATCACATGCAAAGAAACACATACACATAAACAAACAAATATAAAAACAAAAACTGAAACACATAAAAGAACATTAATTTTAAAGAAACACACACACACATTATTATACCCCCCACACAAATTTAATAGAAATATACACATTAAAACACGCAAAAACCACATATTTAATAGAAAACGCATACACATTAACACACATGAAAGAACACAAACAGGCACATTTACGCTTTAAAACGCACAAAAGAACATTCATAGAAACACAAGCACAGAGCCACACACACACACACAGAGCCACACACACACACAAACAGCCACAGACGCACACACACAGACACAGAGCCACACACACACACACAAAGAGCTACTCACCCGGACCACCCTTCCAGAAGGCTCCCATGCCCTCCTCTTTCATGATCTTGCGGGCGCAGTCCATCAAGCCGTTGTACGTCGTCTGACCAGAACGGGCTGCCACCTGGAGGCGAGTTTTGATCACGTCTGCTGGGGTCGGGAGGAAAGCCGCTGGCATACCTGCAACACAACACCGCAAAAATCTACGTGAAGATAACAATACGTACATACACCCGCATCATATCTGCAACACACCTCCACAAAAATATACCTGAAAACGACAATATGTACATATACCACACGACACCTCTACTAAAAAAACCGTCGACCATCAGGTCAAAAAAAGAAAGAGAAGAAAATAACGTTTAATGGTATAGATTTGATGCATTTATCAAAACTATTAGCTTATTTAAGAGGCAGGACCTCCAAATTTAACACCCATCTCTGAAAATACCAAGCCACACGCAAAATTGGTGTAAAGTGCCTTTTCCAAGGACAAAACGTCGGACCGAGCTGAGGCTCCAATTCCCGAACACGTAATCTCATGATCCGGTAGGCTAACCACTAAGCAACCGATGCCACCACTCATCAGGTCTGCACAGACAGAAATGCATGGAAGGTGAAGGTCAAAAGGTCACGGACCTGCTATGGTAGCGGAGAGCAGCAGCGTCCCTGGGGAATTGTAACCGTTCTCGTCGGCGAAGAATTTCTTGGTGTGGGCGTAGGCCGGGAAGTAGATGGCACTGAATGGGACGTCGCGCAGTAAACACGCTTTGGCACCCTGCAGGGAGGAAGGGAGAGGAGATTAGTTTTGTTGTTTTTTTGCACAAGTATTAGTATAACCTTAATGGCACTTGAAGCCCAAATAGGTCATATTAGAAGCACCAATGATTGGAGGTGTTGCTACGGAGTAGCATACAAAGAAAAGAAGAAGATATGAGGATGACAAATGTTTATCAGGAAAGGAGGAACAAAGCACACCACCAATGAATACTTCAAGGAAGCAAAGTACAGTATTACCTGTCCTCAGTCTAGCTAAGTACGGTTTTTACCGCGCTCCCAACTGCATATATTACCTGTCCAAGATGTCTAGATACTGCAGAAACAAAAGTGATCTTCTTAAACAGTATCATTACAATATAGGAAACCCCCCCAAAAAAAACAAAACAAAACAAAAAACGCAAGGGAGGGAAGTGGGAAGTGGTCATTTGTACAGGCAATTGTCTTGTATAGGTGGTTGTTAGAACAAGTTCGACTATGCACAATTTGTTTTTGACAGTTACTGAAAACTGGGGGGCGCAAAGGCTCAGTCAGCCATTGGGTAACCCATGGGTTTTTTTCAGGCCAGACGACATACCCTGTAGAGGCTCAAGAAGCTTGTGTGTGTGTGAGTGTGTGTGTGTGTGTGTGAGATGACGTACCTTGTAGAGGCCGAAGAAGCCGAGGTCTCTGATGACGCTGATGGCGCTCACCCGAGCCGTGCCCGCGATCTCGCCCGCCACCTGCAGACGAATCTTCACAATCTCCAGGGGGTTGGTAAACACCACTTGAGACGCTCCGGCCTGAAACCACAAAAATACAAATGTGTTACACGTTTATTAAGGGTTGAGTTTTCGAAACGTGGTAATGATTCTTTATGGCCAAGTGGTCACTGTACATAAACACCTCGAGTAATTTTTTCTCTTGGAGATGCACACAAGTTTGGGGAATTGTATTTCGCCGGCATCATTCTTCAAATGACCAAGTCGTTACTTGAATTTTTAAGAATAACCAAAGAAGCAAAAGTTTTCCCAAATCAAATCTGAACCATGTAACTTCGGCAAGGAGAAAAGTGGTCATCTCATACAGGTGGTCCTCTTAGACAGTCTCATTATAACATAAAAAAACTCGGGAGGGAGAGAGAGAGAGAGAGAGAGAGAGAGAGAGAGAGAGAGAGAGAGAGGGGGGGGGGGGAGAAATGTGGGCAGCGGTCATCTGTATTGGCAACTGTCTTGGACAGATGGTAATAAGACCAGGTTCTGCTGAATATCGTTAGATCCCCATGCACGTCTATTCAAGAAATGACTTTACTTGGAAACCCACCAGAAATTGATTCGGGGGAGAGTGGAATGGCAATGAAGATTTCAGATTCCTACATCTCCGATATACACGCAACATCCCATCATCTGTGGCATCTTGGAAGAGGCCCGAGAGGTGGCACTCTTATCTTCTGCACAAACAACCTCGGGTTCAAATGCTCAACAAATCAAATACACAATAAATGTCAGAACATATGAGTGAAAAAAGAAAGTGTTCATTAGATATATCTTATTGAAGTCCCTGGGAAATTCACTTAATTTTTAAAAAAGTAAGAAATTCTTATTTTTGGGGTGGGTTGGGGGTTGGTCTAAATCCGCACAAATTAAAAAATACAGTAAGAAACTTTGGGGAGCTAAATCAAATAATAAAATATTTCAAGAATAAAGTAAGAAACATAAGGGGCGGGGTGTGTGTGTGTGCCTGTGTCAGTGTGTGTGTGTGTGCTAAATCACATAAAAAATAAAGTAAGGAACGTAAGAGGGGTGGGGGTGAGAGATAAAGAAAGACTGACCGTGCCTCCGGCCACACACTCGGCCCAGAGCGGCAGCGTGCCGTCCTTCTGCACCAGTTTGTCGCGCATCAGGTCGTTCATGGTCAGCTTGATGGCTTTCTCTGGGGCAACACCCACCAGCTGGGGAGCCAGGCCACGGTACAGTCCGGCCACACCCTCGTGTCGAATCACCTGGTGAGGGGAGAGAGTGAGTGAGTGAGAGGACGAGGAGAGTGAGAGTGTGTGTATGAGAGGGGGGAGAGAGAGAGTTAGAGAGAATATATGAGAGGGGGGGAGGTACAGTCTGACCACACCTTCGTGAGGAATCACCTGTTGGGGGGTGAGAGGGGGAGGGGGGGGGGGGGAGCGAGAATAGAGAGAGAGAAGATAGAAAGAATGGCAAAATGGTAACGGTTAAACACCCCTATCAACACTCTTAGGTTATTTGAGAGAGAGAGAGAGAGAGAGAAAGAAAGAAAGAGAGAGAGAGAGAGAGAGAGAGAGAGAGAGAGAGAGAGAGAGAGAGAGAGAGAGAGAGAGAGAGAGAGAGAGAGAGAGAGAGAGAGAGAGAGAGAGAGAGAGAGAGAGAGAGAGAGAGAGAGAGACTGAGATTGTCTTTGTCTGGGCTTAACAGTCCTTTCAACACTGTAAGAGTCTTGTGTTGCCAACAGGACTTAAGGTTCAGAAACATTACACACATTCCTTTCCTAACTCCATATACATCCAGCACTGCTTTTTTTTTGGTCTTATCTTTTTACACGCAAAATTTTCAGATTTTGCAAGAGTTTTGCCTCGCTTACAAGACAAAAACGTCAGTTAAGAGCCGAAGATTAAAGGTGTTACTACAGAATAACATACCTGGAAAGGAAGGAGGAGAGATAATAATGATAGATGTTTGATAAGACAGAAGGAACAAACCACATCAGAGTGCCCGCCAACCTCCCAGATATGCGCAGCAGCTTTGCCACAAAAAGCCACAAGCTGGTAACGAAGACTGAGACACAAACGGTCATATACCCATGCATGGAAGAGCAGGAAGGCTGCACATTCAAGCCATCGCCGCAGAACTGACAACACGCAGGGTTCCTACTCATCAAGGAGAAAACATTTTTTCGGTTTCCTTCATTTTCCTGGCGTTTTCCTGACCGGGAAATTTGAAAATGAAATTCCTGAATTTTCCCAGTTTTCCTGGGTTGAGTAGGAATCCTGAACATACAGCTCTGACCGACAGATAAACAGTCAAACAGAGAGATGAAATATCTCAAATGTATGAAAATGTATCCCTTAATTAACGTCCCTTACAAACCATTTACAACAAGCCTGCTCAATGGTCAAGGCACTTAGAATCAGAAAGAAATTTTGGGCCAAGCCTAGGCAGCAGGGAGAGCAGAAACTCTATAGCTATGGAAACCTGGAGAACCTGTGATGACAGACTTCGCACTAGAGTTGGTCTGGGTAGAGAGAAGCACACCAACACATCAACGGTCATATATAGCGCAGGGCAGAGGCAAGACAGGACCTACCAGTGGCACGCTCTAACCATCTACTCACAGTAAAGACTGGGGGTGGGGGTGGGGGTGGGAGTCCATGTAAAGAAGAAACAGAAGAAGAAGAAAAGAAAGCCCCTTACACCTTCAACATTGTATTGTAGGAAATGTTATTTAACACTTTGCCATCACAAGGCTCATATAGTAAAAACCTTTGTCATCACAAGGCTCATATAGTAAAAACCTTTGTCATCACAAGGCTCATATAGTCAAAACCTTTGTCATCACAAGGCTCATATAGTCAAAACCTTTGTCATCACAAGGCTCATATAGTAAAAACCTTTGTCATCACAAGGCTCATATAGTAAAAACCTTTGTCATCTCAAGGCTCATATAGTAAAAACCTTTGTCATCACAAGGCTCATATAGTAAAAACCTTTGCCATCACAAGGCTCATATAGTAAAAACCTTTGTCATCACAAGGCTCATATAGTAAAAACCTTTGTCATCACAAGGCTCATATAGTAAAAACCTTTGTCATCACAAGGCTCATATAGTAAAAACCTTTGTCATCAAAGGCAAAGGCCTTTTTGGGAAAATCTAAAGAAACTGGGACGTAAACATCGCCAATCGGCAAGATGTGATGGCAAAGCGCTAAGAGGCGGGTCCTACACACTTCATGTCCATCTCCAAATGGGGAAATTTGTATCAAATTCCTTTCCAAAGGATACAACTTCTCAGAAAGATAAACCTCGAACCAGCAGTATTATGATTTTGAGTCCAGACACCTAGCAACTAGAAAATGCACACAAAATATTTGACTTAAAAAAATAAAAAAACCCAACAAAAAACAAAACAAAACCCAGCCGCAGCAACGAATACCAAGCAGTCCTGGGATGCCACTGGGGGTTTGTGAAAATACCTGAACATTTAAGAGTTGTATTCGCAAACAAAAAAATAGTTAATAAACGCAACTACAGGGACTTAAAATATACACGCAGAGATTAATAATAATATCTGTTGCTTTGGTGAAAATAACAGGAAACAAAATGGACGGCATTTCTGACAATTATTTGGGGTGTGTGTGGGTGGGTGGGTTTCTTGAGCACAAAACACAATCGACAAACACTATATATGTCTCCCCCGCTCAATATCAGTCGTAAGACGCAGTATGCTATTATCAGCTACGAGGCTCAAAAGACAAAAAAGTGACTTTCCACTAAATTTTTTCTTTTTGGATCTGTTGAAATTTTGATGTCTTCTGCTTCATTTAAGATACAAATAAACAACTATAATCGACTATAAATATTTTGATTTATTTTGGAGGTGTGTGTGGTTGGTTGTGAGCTTGGGTGACGAGATTAAGGAATTTGGACCTTGCTAGTGTGTAGCTGTGAGATTATTTTTAGAACCATTACCTCATAGCCACCTTTGCTTTGATCAAAGATTCTCCACTAGTGGAGTAGGGCTGGGTCACGAGTGCGAGAACGGAACTGAATCGCCACTCTTTCCTGCGGAACGCGATTCACGATTCACTTCAGCGGAACGTGGAGCAGTATCGCCAAACGATTCCCGATTCACTCCCCTGTCGCTGTCACCACCTTGTGGCTTGTTTAACCTACTGCTGGGTCGTCAGTCGAGTCACGAGCGCAAAAACGGAACGGAACACTTTGTATGGCTCCCCTTATTTTACAAAAGATGGTATAGTCCAACCCCCCTATTAAAACAAAATGAACGGGGTCCAACCAATAGACAGAAGGAATTTTATTTAGCCATTGTTTTAGCGAATCATGGGTTTGGGGGGGGGTGATTTATGGGGGTCACTAATTGAGGTCCGTTGATAGAGCAGCGCAACAAAGGGTGTGGGGTGGAGAGGTTGGCGGAACAACAAGAGTGGGACTCGCGCTCGCCAAGAGGCGTTGATATGACACTGTTCCGTTTCAGTAAGTGTTCCGCCACAGCTCCACGAGCGCTCGCGTACTTGCGATTCATTGAAGCCGACTGAATCGCGAATCGCCACTCTCAAATTTGACGAGCGGGATCCAGCCCTATAGTGGAGTATCTTTGCTTCAACGTTTTTCATTAGCAACTATTTTTAGATTTTGACCCCTTTTCGAGCATGAATGGTCAGAAATGTAAACAACTCTGATTGGTAAAACGGAGTAAAAACGGTAACTTTTTGCTCACTTTAAGCTTGTTTAGGTAAACAGCTGACTGTGTGGGCGTGCCCTGCTAGTTGTTATCCTCTGTTGATCTTTCAATTTTACACTTGGACTGACTTTTAAAAATTCATTTTTATTGTGTTTTAGTGCCTTCAAAAGATTAATTTACCTTCCTCTTGATCTCTCAAAGCGGACTCCTTACCAAGAGGCCACTGAGGCGGTCTACGTGCATGAGTGGGTATGTGTATGTGTGTTTGTATGCCTGCGCGCGCGCGCGTGTGTGTGCTCTCGTGTGTTTATGGTGCTATTGCAAACGTATAATATGGTAGGTTAGACACGGCACATAAACCGACTCGGGGCCTTCAGAGCGAGTGGTTTCGGTAAAATGGGGGTAATTCAGATCTCTGTTTCTGTACTCTTTTACTATAAAACACTAAATGCTGAACACTTCGAAAAAGTTCAGACTTTCTTCATTACAATAGTGTAAGTTGTATATCCGATTATTTGGAGCTAGAGAATTGCCATGGAAAGGGGAGCCCCTCGCTGTCGGAATGCGAGGTTGGCAGGTTCAAAATTGACACCCATGCATTCAAATGCCTTGCAGAAAGATTGATGATTAAATACCTCTTTTCACACAGCTTTGACGTGGTTTTCCGTGGTAATATTGGCCTTTTGCGTTCGGATAGAACACCTTGAAAAAAAAGTGTCTAAGTTTTCAAAGATCGTTTTTAAAATGAAATGTGTAAAATACCGGCTAAAAAAGGTACCAATAGAAAGAACAGTTTTTTTTCTATTAGAAAAAAGTCATCGGCTTGGAATTATTTTGCATGAATCCTTCCGCCAAACTCTGGGGAGCACTCAATACACTACAACTTGCCACTGGGACCTATGCGGCGCCGACCGAGACAAACGCATGGTGTTTTTATTGAAATAACGACAGATCATTGTGTTTGAGGCAATAAAATACTGATTTGTAATGATCTCACAGTCTTGAAAAAAATTTGGCTTCATTTCTTAGTTATAATAAATGTAGAAATATTTGGTGTACTAGGTACCCTTTTATAATCTGTCAATCATGGGGTTGCAGCCAGTTAGCCACTTCAGCAATATTATGTTAAATTGAAACATTCTCTTTAACATTGACAGAAGTATGGTACCAAAATTCTCAGAAGACATAGGCCTTTCATATAAAACAAATGAATTTGACATACAGCTACTTTGAAAAGTTAGTATCTGGTACCTAGTATAATGCTAATATTATTTTGTAGCATTTGACCTTTTTTTGTTCCATTCTCGTGAACATTTTGTTCTGTCCATAATTTTTTTCTCTGGGAATGAATATTTTCCTACTTCTGTATGTCACCTTGTAGTGGCATAGCCAAGATAACTATTACATTTCAAGTCTCTATCTCAATTCTAAGACCCCCAGTGCTATGGAAACATGTTGCTCAACTCTGGAAGCCATTTTCTCTTTTTCCTGTTTCCTCACCTCGTACAATTAAAAGTTCTGTATTTTCGTCAACTATTGTCATATTTACTTCATTCTGATTTAAATTGTAGGGCTCAGTTAATGTTAGCTCAGTTTTGAAATTTCCTTCATATGACTGATATTGACCGGCAGGGACACCTATATGAGCATAGACAACAACAGGATAATTTATGACACTGGATGATGAACAAACATCCAACCTACCAACCTCCAGGGCACACAAAATGGAAAAATCCTCCATCAATACCAAGTCCAGGGAAAAAACAAAAGGACACATTCAATGTTGCACCCTTAGACTAAATTGTAACAATGTTTAGTCATGAACAGGCTCAATTTGAGAAACAAACTCAAGATGTTGCAAGCTCAAAACTCGTGTGTATTTACAGCATGATAAAGGGTCTTATATTCATGTACAGAACAACAAAGGGCAGTTTATACTTTACAAGTGTTGCACTGCAGTCTATCCAAAAGGCTGAAAATAAAAGTTTTAAAAAGATATTTTGTGCCCTTGAGTACAACTGATTTCCGAACTTAATCGAGTAGTTGAAAGGTCTATATCAAAAGTTTAAAAAATAATGGATTTGAGTTTCTTCATTAATTAAAAAACCCAGAAGAAATGTGCCTAAAACATCAGTCTAACACTGAGCAAAGAAAACATGGAAACCTGAACTTTTCATATTACAAAGACTACCATTTCAGGGGAAAAATAAATCAGGCGCTGAATAGGCTTTGGTAGCCGTCCAGTCAAAAATACACTCAAGAATACAAACATGTCCATGGAGTCCTTTGGTGACAATTTTGGTTTCGAATGAGCTTTCTCGCAGAAAAGAAAAAAGACGAAATAAAAATATGAGGGCTGGGCTGTAACATACTCGCCAGTGGAAAAGTTTTGAGTTGAAAAGAATGGTTCAAGCAAAAAAGAGTGGGAAGACATGGAATAATATCAAGAGGCTAGCCCAGGATAGGGAAAAGTGGAAAGCGTTTTGTGGCCTATATCCTGATGCAGAGTGAGAAAGGTTATGATGATGATGGTGGAAGACTTTTAGAATTCTGGTTAACTTAAAGCACTCAGTAGCTCATGTATGGTGTTTGTCAACCTGGAGGTCCAAAGTTCGATCCCCACCAGAGCTGTTTCCCCCCCCCACGTTTTCTACATTCATGATCCTATGGAGGATAGAAAGAAAGACAGATAAGCTTCAAAGCCTCCACTAACCGCCCCTCCAGTCCCACAGTCAGTTGCCTCAGCGTTGGCGTTGTGTCGGCGGGCTCACCTTTTTGGCACAGTCGAAGCTGTTCTTGTACATGAGCTCGCCCACGTAGGAGCCCGTGCGCTGGTTCTGGAGCCGCGTCTTCACCAGGTCGATGGGGTACACCGCCGTCGCTCCCGTGGCTGGAGGGGGAGTGGCAAGGTTTTAGTTGTTTTTTTAAAGTTTCAGTAAACAGTTTTACTATACTTAGCTGTCTAAAAACTCATAGCCTTCCATTACATAACAATCCCCCACCCTCCCCTCACG